TCCAGGATGTGAACATCTTCATCCCTGAAAGAGTGACCGCTGGCCTGGAGATGAGTGTAGACCGCAGAGTCCTGGCCTGATGATGTTGATCTTCTGTGCTGGTCCATCCTTTTGGCCAGTGGCTGTTTAGTTTCCCCGATGTAAGACTGATCACAGCCCTCCTGACACTGAACAGCATACACAACATTACTCTGTTTGTGCCGGGGGACTGGATCTTTGGGATGAAACAGTTTTTGCCGTCAGGCCAGGACTCTGTGGTCTACATTCATCTCCAGGCCAGCGGTCACTCTTTCAGGGATGAAGATGTTCACATCCTGGACAGAGAGGAACGATGGTTTGAGAGAGGAGTAAAGGAGGCCATCTTTGTGAAAAGAAATCGTCCATCATTAAACAGGGGTGGAGGCCTCCGGGTTCAATTGTCCCCCTCTTACAATGCTGTTATTGCTAGTATCACTCAGCCCTCTGTGAATAGTAAACAGCCATCAGTGTGCTAATGATCCATTGTTAGGCTGATGGTTCTTCTTGACCATGTGATCAGCTGGTTTTGGTTGTCAGCAGCAAAACTGGTTGATCCACTCTGAGAAGGTGCTATTTAAGAGACTGAGCTGAATACAGCACCTCAGACTGAGGAAGTCTCTCGGATGAGAGACGAAACGTTTCTACATTTTTTGTTGTTTTGCTTTGTTTTGTTTTTTGAATGTCCAGAGGACCAGACTGAACTTTTTTTGGATTTTTCTACCTGGATTATTGAGCATGCATCAGGACATTTATAAGTTTGTTGAATTTAAAAACACTATTGAAAACAGCTACAGTGTATAATCTGAGTTTTACATTCGTGTGATCAAAATTATTTTAGAACATGTTTACAAACTCTTGAATAACCTATTTAATAAATCCTTCATAAACGGACCCCTATTATGAACCGGTACATATAAATAAAAGCCGGTATATAAAAAAACAAAATTATGTAAAGTGGAGACAAAAGGCGCTAGAGCAGTGTGTGGTAAAGTAGATCAGCAACAAAAATGCTGCTTGACCTGTACAACAACTTTGCACAACTGATGAAATTCAATAAAAAGCTGCTCAAGTGACCGTAAAGACAAACACTGATGTACCTGGTAACAAGATTTAATCACAAGATTTAACTACATGCAGCTACAGGTGTGTTGTTTGTTGCATTTACTGTATTGCTTTGTTTTTACTTTATAATGTATTGCTTTTCTGGATTTATACTTTCAACTAAAATGTATAATTACTTTCATCTAGAGTGTCATTTTCTAATTATGTAGCAAACCTTTCATTTGGTTTACGGTCACCTTTTGCTTGTTTGCCTTTTAGCTTCGTTAAGCAGCACTATGACTACATCTGAGTTTGATCAGAGAGAAACAGTTGTTACAAGCAGAGCAAACTTACTTTTACACAAACACAAACTGCTGTATGTAATGTCTATCCAATCAATCAATCAATCAATCAATCAATCAATCAATCAATCAATCAATTAAATATGAATATTTCAGTAGTGCTGGTGACATTTGCAGTTGTGCCAACAAACGTCTGTTAGTACAATAAAAAGCCTTCTCATGATTGTTGCGTAATTACCTAATTATTGTTATACACGAACTGTAGGTGAAAATAAATGAAGGTAAAAAAGTGAAAACGCATCACTTCATAATAAAACCTGTTGTGTCAGTGCCTGGAGACAGACAGGTGCAGGTGTTTGACCTTTCTCACCCACACTTTTATGTTGTCGGTTCAGGGAGTTGAACTGGCAACCTTCCAACCACAGGCCCACCTTCTCTAGCCTCTGCGCCACCACTCCCCTCAGTGAGCCACTTTTATTATTTTATAACTAGGGGTGCACCAATAAATCGGCCCCCATTTCCTTAATTTTAGGAAATCAGCCGATACTTGCATGAGAAACCGATTTATTTGTAGTTTTCACAACAATTGTCTGAACTTCCTTTATATTTCAGAGCACTACCTCATGGCCAGGTAAAACAAGTTTGTATTGTTTCTAGGGTATTGATCAAGGGTATATGTTTTTTCAACAAATTAAAATGGTAAAATTGAAGGTGCATTGTGACCTTCTAACACCGGACAGTGTCGCTTAGAAAACAAAATCAGAATCGGCAGCTCAGACTTTTCAGAAAACTGCAACCGGTGCACCTCTAATATATAACTTCAATTGAAACTGGGTTTATTTATTCAAAAATAGATCTTGCTGAACTCTGAATGACAGGAAACACCTTGTAATCTCTACCGGTCACTGACTATGGTGACATTATTTACATGAACGTCCCTGCCAGCTGCTTGCAGATGTTGGCTGCTGTCTTAAGATTCATAACTGGTTGTAACCACCGTACCCATCACTGCACCCTGTGCTCACTGGTCAGCTGCTCATTATCTACATGTAGACTCTCACACTGCTTCATCTTCATCTATAAACCCCCTCCTTGGTCTGCTGCCTTCTTATAACTCCTCCCACATGTCACATGGTCAGTGCAGTCACAGCGTGCGCTCTCAGGGATTCGTTACCCGCAGTGTTCCCTCAGTGCACTGAACTCGACAAAACAAAAAAAATCAAAGCAAATGTGTTTTTTTTACCTTGTTTTCAATGGCATCTCGATTCATAGTGTTTATAACGTTGTTTATTTGAGTTAAATTGCTTTTTGTTGAATTGCTGTTGCCTGCACTTTACATGTCGTGTCTCTCAACAGGTCTCTTGAAATGAGACTAACCTGGATAAATAAAGGTTGAATGAATGAACACTTACACAAGTGTTGATAGAAAAGTACACATGACCAAAGCTTTGCAACTAGAAGCGTAGAGGCTGCATGTGTGAACAAGGTGGACTTGAGTTTGTGGACTCACCCAGGATGAGGCCACAGCAGCTGAGCGCGTGCACAGACGTGCTCTGGTTCAGCAGAACATACGACAGGAGCACATTAAAGACGGTGCTGAGGGAGCGGCCCACCGTGTAGAAGGCCACCCCGACATGTTTCAGACACAGGTTGTTGAAGGTGATCATGCTGATGAAGACCACGGACAGAGGCAGGACCTCCCGGGACGTCTTCAAGTCCAACTTGACCGACGGGAAGTCCACGGTCCCCGGGCAGAACGTGGACACGAGCTGCATGAGCCCACACAGCCCCACCGTCACCACGCACTGGTAGAAGGTGACGAACAGCGGGGCGTCCAGGTCCCGGTTGTCCAGCAGGTAATTATTCAGGAACACCATAGTTATCGACACGAACCAGTAGAGAGCAACCACGGCGGCTATCCGGAGTGCTCGGAGTAAAAACGCCTCCTCCCGGTCCTGGTTGGTCCCTTCCGAGCCGGACAGAGCCATCTTCAGGATACTGGAGCGCTTCAGCTGCGTCCTGTTCATCGTTACAGACACAAAGAGCAACGAGCTGCTTTAAAACCAGCCCATTCACAGGAGCTGCGGTCTGAAAACGGACCAACACGAAAACATGACGGCAGACTTCCGCTACCGGCAACAGTGAACTCACTTCCGGTTTGGGTATTTCAACTTAAAAGGCCAAATAATCAAACTGCGACTTTTGTATGAGCCCACATTGTTTTTCCTCAAAGAAAACAGTTTAGCCGGACTTACTAAATTTATTCTTCTTCTTCTTCTTTTTTAAATAAAATTTACATTACTAAAGTTATTTTTACGCATCATGCTTAAAATCATCAGGGAAACCATCATCCAAAAACAACAAAGTCCATGCTCAATCAGGTATAAAATCCAACATTTTTCAGTCAGGTCATCTGGACAGTTTCTTTTTTT